GAAAGCGTGCATGACAGCACCCGATAATTTTTCGAAGGGTAGCGTTGCTAATCTGATTACTTCCAGCGAGCTGGCAAAATGCGAGGATAAATTGAAGCCGAGTGTCATGGAAGCTGTTCAATATTGGCGCTATGCAAAAGCCTGGATGCATGGACCACTGGCGACGTCAACTTTGTCGAACTCGGACAAGACTACTTTGTTGGGCAATCTGGAAGTACGGTGTGTGATGTTCATCCACAACAAGAAGTCGCGGGCTAGGCGTTGGTTCAATACCATTGGCGACATTGCCCAGGAATTTTTGAATGAGGTTATCGCAGCGTGCCCCTCGGCAAAAGATACGGACCCCCCATGGGCACTCAAGGAGGCAGCCTCAACTTCAGCGGCCCCATCGAGCAAGATGCGTGAGTATTCGGACAGCGGGAGCGGCGTCCTGGAGAAGTCTGTCGTGGAAGGCTTGGGTTTCACTGATGGCGCGAGTGTGGAGCTTAAAAATGCCATGGAGGGCTTCCGCAAGGGCGTGCTCTATGAGGTGCACTCCATCGAAGGCTCGAAGGTCAAGCTGTTCGACGTGTTCAAGAGGAACAAGGACGTGGACGACGAGAGTATCAAGCTGCTGGACATCAGCACGAACGACCTGGTCGAGAACTTCAAGGTTGCACGGATTGCAAAACAAAGTACTCCTCAGTTCCCTTTACCATCCTCCTCCTCCTGCTCCTCCTCCCCCTCCTCCTCCTTATCCTCCTCCTCCTCCTCCTCCTCCGCCTTCTCATTTTCATCTTCCTCCTGCCCCCCTCCTGCCCAGGTTGTGGAGATGAACAGGACCTACGAGCTCGAGGTGAAACAGGGGATGTCGTCCTGTCTGGACCGCGCTCTTGCTTGGGGGGGAGGGGAGCGAGAGAGAAGGCGGAGGATAAGGAGGAGGAGGGGAGGAGGATGAGGATGATGAGTGTAACAGTGGGGGGAGGAGGAGCAGGAGGAGGAGGAGAAGGAGCATAGGAAAAAAAGGAGAGGGGGGGCAGGAGCAGGAGGAGGAGGAGGGAGAGGAGGGAAGAGGGGCAGGACAGGAAGGAGAAGGATGAAGATGAGGAAGGGCTGATGGGGGGAATGTCAGGAAGAGGAGGAAGAGGAAGAGGAGGAGGAGGACGCGTGACGGAGACTTGACAGTGTCTGTAGTTTGATGCGCCCATCTTGAGCAAGTTGCCGCTCCCTCGCGGTTCATTGTTTCTTCATGTCGCCTCTTTCGGTTGTTCGCATCCCCGCAGGATCATGCCGATATCGTCTTTGCCCACAGCCAGGCGCAGTTCATTGAGGGCCTTCATGCCGCCTACTCTTTGCTTGAGAAATATGTTAGTGTCCGCGTGTTGTATGCGAGGACCCCCAGGCCTTCAGTACAGTCTGTGCACGTCGCAAAGAATTATGAGAAAGGTGCGTTGATCGTTGTTCCGTTGGCTCTAAAGTGATGACAGGGGCGAAACTGTCAACTGTTGCAATTCCTGTGCCTGATCTCGTCGGTAAGCCAGCTGGTCAGCGCTGCTATATCACTCCGAAAGTCGAGCTCCCCACGAGCGATAGTAGCCGCCAGCATTTCGTGCCGCCTTTTTTTTGCATTACCAGCGGTGAACAGCCTAACCTTGCATTCAGCAAATTTGCCATTGAGCTTAGCCAGCGTGACGGTAAGGGTCACGGCAAAAGCAGCGGCCCGACGACGGTTTCAGTTCCTTGCTTTTACAACACAAAGCATTTGAAAGTTGGCGACAAGTTAGTTCGCCCATCTGCTTTGGAATATGGCAGCTCGCAGCCCTCGGACGGAAAGGCCAAGCGGCCAAGCTCGAGTGGCGCATCCAAGGAACCCAAGAAGTCCAGGTCGTAGGGCTAAGTGCCACTGCTCCCTGGGCATGCATAAGCGCTTTCTGTATACCTAGCCTCTGGAGTATTCGTTTTCGTGTGTTGCATCGCCCGTCGCACTGCTGGTAAGTTGTTCGGTGGTCTCGCCGTGCGTTTCTATTTGCGACGCCTGTGCGCCATGATGAGTACACACGTGATACTGACATTGGTGCACATATATATATATATATATACATGTACCGATACATATACACCGATATCTGCAGACAGTGATGCGCGGTGCGAGTTTATGTTACAGTGTGTTCTGACCTGATGCGTTTGAGCATCGTTCGAGAGACCAGACTCTTGCAATGGGTTCTCCAGAGGCGGAGGTAAACGTCGTGCCACTCCTCCTTCTCATCAGTCGCACTCTCATGTCTTCCTCTCCTCATCGTCTCACCTCCTCCTCGTCTTGCTCCTTCTACTCCATTGCCCTGAAGAAGAGAGAGATAGAGAGAGCGAGTCGGGTGGACGACAACTCCGAGAATGGAGGAGGCTGGTGACGGGGAGAAGGAGGAGGAAGGAGGAGGAGGAAATGAGGAGGAGGAGGACGACGACGACGAAAGAGGAGGGGGGACTACGAGAAGGAGGGAGAAGGAAGACCGCCCCTGCTCTTTCGCCTGCCCGCCGCACCCTGCGTCTGGCATACAACCTGGAGAAGGCCCGCCCCACCCTGCTGCGCCCGACGCGTCGCGGGCGCGAGCGAGAGACAGTCAGTCAGCCAGTTCGGAGCATTGGTCTTGAAACACAATGTTCTCCTGGTGTGGGTTCGGGGGGCCTGGTTTCAAAAACGCTGATTTAAACCAGTGTTTGCTGCGTTGTGCTGGCGCGGGCTCGAGGGGCCAAACCATTTAAACCATATGGTTTTTGCATGTTTTGAGGGGCATAGGGGGTCGTGAGTGAATCATTGCCCCCATAATGTGAGCTCTACCACCTCCCGCGCGTGAGAAAGCGACGCTGGAGGGCAGAAGGAGGATCAGGAGCTGGAGGGAAGGGGTGAGGAGGAGAGGGAACAGGAGACAGAGGAGGAGGAGGAGACAGAGGAGGAGGAGGAGGAGGAGGAGGAGGAGGAGGAGGAGGAGGATCGAACTCCCGGTAGTTTGAAGGAGCAAGGGGGAGATGATGATGAGGAGGAGGAGGAGGGAGGAGGAGGAGGGGGGGGGGAGAAGGGGGAGTTGGAGGAGGGTGAGGAGGAGGAGGAGGAGGAGGAGGAGGAGGAGGAGGAGGGGGAGGAGATCTCAGAGACTGGTGCGCTTCAGACTTGCATGTCAGGGGCTTCCCAATAACACGGTAAAGGACCCCAGAGCACCAAAAGCACCCCCGAAGTAGCTCTGAAAGAGAGCTTCTCACGGTACCTCCCCCTCCTCGTCCTCATCCGCAGCCGCGTTTGATTCAAACAATCAAGGCTTGCAAGTTTCGGCGTGCTACTGCACGCGCTCTATAGATATGGTTTCGATCAATCTTGACCTTGCGATGATCTCATCGAGCGAGCGCCCCTCGATCGGGAACGCGCGGGTGGCCCAGACGATCAGGGTTGATGACCACATCCTCGTGGAATGTAATCGTTCTTGTCCGAAGTTTGCCAAGTTTGTGAGGAACGACTTTTCGATGTTGGCCGCTTTGGTCTCTGCCAGGACTGCGAAGTGCTCGAAGCTCATGGAGGAGGTCAATCAAGCATCGTCCGACCCTACCGCTGACAGCCCCGACTCGAGTCAGCCTCCCGTCAAGCGGGCCAAGAGGGAGCTCATCGACGAGATCGCATGCGACTTAGTTGAAGTTTCGGTTCGCGACCACGGTGACAACGAGTACTCTGCAACGTGAGGAAGGCTGCGTACGCCAGGGACCTCTTGCAGATCGAGCTCACCCAGGCCAACATGGAGCTGCTCACTAAGAAGGCCAAGTCTGATGGCAAGCCATTCACACCGACGATTTCTGAGCCGAACGTGTCATGGCTTCCGCACAGAGGTGCTTGCAAGGCGTCTTACTTCGACGGGACAAAGCAGAAGTGGTCGGTCAAGACTGCCAAAGTACCCTACAATGCTGACCATCAGGCGTTCCAGGAGGCAGTCGACCGTGCCGCTGCAGACGTGCAGGCCTTCTACGAGAAATACCACGTGGAGCCTGGCAGCGCTGAGTGAGAGCAGTCGTTGGCCATGAGGTTGCCTTACATAATTCAGATTACGCGTTGTGCGCCTGGGCTGTTGGGAGTTCCCAGGCGCCCCACGCGTGTTGCTGCGTTCGATGTCGAGCTTAGGGGTGACCTCGACTTTAGGGATGCGCAGGCCGCCGTGGACAGCGTGCAAGCTCTCACTCAACGCTCGCGATCGGTACCAGACACATCTCAGATACACCTTGGCACCGTAATCGTCGTCACTCGGGGAGGCCGCAGATGGGCCTTCAGGGGTCGTGACAGGGGCGGCAGCCATGCATCGCAGTTGCTGGCGTGGAAGCGAATCCTGGTAGTGGCGACGTGGGGCACAAAAGTGCTCAACCCTGGTCAGGGTTGAGCACTTCTCGTGTGAGGGGCTGCCCCTCTGTCGAGTGTTGTGTGCAGGGACCGTTCTCGAGCCCCAAATCATCGCGATGCGCCGGCTTATTTTGTTGATTTCCGCTCGGCCGAAGTTGTTGTGCTCAAGGCCCTGTGCCGTGCCAGACGCAGCTAACACTCGTCTCAGCACTGCGAATACCACAAACATGATGGCAGTTGATGTGATGAGGAACGTAAGGGTGAGACATAACATGACAACGACGACGATGCCATGACGACGCTGGTAAGAGGCAGGGGGATGATGACTCAGAGGAGTGAGGCTTTTAGATCTCTACAAATGTTCACACGAACGGACGGGTCCATGTTGCATTGTCTGGGGTAGGAGGCACGCCACGCATGCCGAATGCAGTGTGGAGGGTCTCGAAACAAAAAACCAAACGCGAGAGTTTGTGAGTCTGATAAGTTGATGGGGTTATCCCCTTGCAAGGATCCATCACCAGCCCTGCAGTGGCATCGCGCCACCGTCGCCCCGCGTAGCCGTTTTGGCTCAAACGATTGCTGTTCGAACGACTCTGTTTCTGACTACTCGTGCAGTCTCGGCGCTCATACCTTACCTGATGGCAGCCAGCATCAGCGACACCCTTGTGCGCACGATTCAGCAACGTGTCAAGTTCATCGAGGCCCAAGTGGGTGCTGGACTCGACCAGCACGCGCTCCTGACCGACCAGTGTACTGCACTAGCCGTTGCCATTAGGGGCACCGTCGGGTTGACTGTCGACGCCGCGACGGAGGTGCAGACTGAGATCAACGCAGGCCCCTGGACCCCCACTCAGAAAGTACAGCTGGCCAATGCCTTGTCGGAAGCCGTAGCGTCGCTGTCGGCCATTGCTCCTTCTGGTGGCAGGGCGCAGCAGCACGCGATCAGCATCCATATGTTCTTCGCGGCGAAGGATTGGAAAGTCTTCGATGACACGAGAGTGACCATAGAGGTCAAACTGGAGATCTGTGCGAAGCGCCTTCATCGTCTCGGCGTCAGCTGCCCTGGGGAGAAGCTGCAGGCGCGCTGCATCGCCATGCTATTGTTGTCGGGGGTGCCAGAAGACTCTCCGACGTACACTCCACAAGGCAAGAAGAACCTTTGCGCGAAGTTGAAGGCCATGGTGAAATCCTTGGACGCTGCTCAGAGGTATGCTGGTGAGCATCGCAAGATCTTCCCGACCGATCCGAGCCACTTGCCTCAGAGCGCCCTTGCCCACGCCTACGACGTTGACGACCCCGCCGTGGTCCCCCCGAACCTCGACTTCATGAAACTCGAGCAGGAGTGCGGGGTACAGGGATGCAGGGGCAACCACAAGACGATGAAGAGCACGCCCGCTGCACCAACCACGCCTGCATCGACCACGCTTGCGCTTGCTGGCTCACCGAGTGGGAGCATGATGAACCCGATGCAAATGTTTGCGCACTTCGCGCAGCAGATGGGCCAAATGATGGCGCAGCAGTCCGCCAGACAGGAAGGCGAGGTCCCCATCGACATCCTGAGGCCCTCGCCCTCCCAGAGGAACGGGGGGTGCCGCTCTAGGTCCAGGAGCCACGACACCCTCAGCGCAGCCGCGATTCCTTTGCGCGGAGCGAGCGACTCACAAGACTTGGCAGGTGTGCCGAGTGAGTCTCCCGTCGAGGAGAGCGCCGTGGTTACCGCGCCTTCGGCTGCTGCTGCGACCTCGACTCCGTCTCCAGTGGCAGCTCTAGTTCCGTCTCCGCTGGCACCTATAGCGCCTGCTGAGCAACCAGAACTTGCACTCGCAGCCGCACCAGTTGACCTAGCGGGTGGAGCCTCTGACGACGAGGCTGGGGAGCTCGAGCGCAGGATGCTCGCGGCGGCGGAGTCCGCTGGCAGCCACCTCAACATCAAGTCCAAAGGCAAGAGCGCAGGGAAGGGCAGAGGGAGAGGCAAAGGTACTGCCGCAGACTCTGGCAAGGGAGCGCCCAAGAGCAAGGGGTCGGTCATTGGCAAGGGTAAACCCAAAGCCAAAGCCAAGGCTGCGGCCAAGGCTGCGGCCAAGGACAAGCCCAAGGCTGCGGCGAAGGCCAACAAGGACAAGACCAACAGCGTGCCTCCGTGCGGACACACAGGCCAGCCACGTGGTTGAACGATGTTTGAGCCCAGCGCGTGAGTGAGGAGGGAGGAGGTGTGTGATCAGGGGGGAGAGAGGAAGAGAGAGAGAGAGAGAGAGAGAGAGGGAGAGAGAGAGAGAGAGCGAGCACGGTGTGTCATCCTCGTCTTCCTTCTCATCCGCCCCTTCCTGCCGAGTTTTGGAGGCTTCCCTGGGCCAGACATCCTGGGTTCGAAAGGAGGGGCGGGGCCCTTGGGCCCATGAGTAGCCCTTAAGGGCTACTCATTCCGTGCACTCTGCCTCACACCCCAAGGCATAATCACAGCGAAGAGCGGGGTCCGCATCAATTTCAAGAGCTGGATCGACCCAGACAACTGCCAGAACTACAGTTGCAAGAACTCTTACTGCTCGAGTGCCTACAAAGGTGCACAGGCGATTGCGACATCCAAGGACCTCTCAGATTCCGACGCCATTGATATTGCCAGGATGGCGTACAAGGTAGCTGGGCACGTGTGGAACGAGAAGTTCAAGAAATAGGCGATCGTTTTTTTTCAAGGTGCATCGCCACTGTTTCCTAGGTGCACGCACGCATACACACTCGTATACACTTGTGTATATTATTCAGCCACGTCTGTGATTGCAATGAGGGTTTGCGGATATCTGGACTGGCAAGTGTGACCGTGCTTTCACGAACTCCAGCACCAATGCTGGCGATGAAGATGCGACTCCTTCCCTTGATCATTCGCCTCATCATGCGCTCCTTCAACTCTCCCATGGTTTGCTTTCTCCTCCATCCTCCTCCTTTTCTTTTATCGTACACGCATGCGATCTGCCCGTCGGCGGCTGCCGCCCCCCGGCTTCAAAAATTTGAAAAAAGGCGAGGTGAGGGTTGTGATGGATTGAGGGCAAGGGGGAGTTGGCGGCGGGAGGACGGGCTATATACACCACGCGCCTGGGGCCCCAGTGGGCTGGTGGATATATGGCGAGGGCCAGCGATAGCATCAAAACAGCGACTGACACAGCTTTGCAAAGCACAGCGCAGCAAACGCATCAAAACGTGATAGCATCAAAACAGCAAGCGTGCAGCACTAACCAAACGCAGCAGCAAAGCACAGCACGGCAAAGCATAGCCGCAAAGTATATACAAAGCAAGGCAGCACCACAAAAACAACATCAGACTCAGCAGCACACAGCCACCAACATATCCGTAGCCAATCGTGCTCAGACCAAGCATGGCTTCCAAGAAGCCAAAGCTCACGTCATTCGGCAAGGAATCTTACGTCTCGTATGCTGCGCTTGCAGCGTTGTTCGACCAGGTCAAGAGAGAGGGCCTCCCAGATGCATTCTCGCCCTCAACTCAGGCCAGACATCGCGATGAGCTGGCAGGGCAACAGACCAGCCACGGCAAGCTTGTGCAGACACTATCGGTCCCAAACGGCGACGCCGTGATGGAGATACCTCTTCAGAATCCGTTTGCAATGTTGGAGGCCTCGTGTTCCAATTCGCAGTTGTTCAAGACGTTCCTCGAGGGAGTGCTTTCTAAGAGCGGTGGTCGCCTCACACTGCTGATATACAATGATGAGGTCGTGCCTGGAAATCCCCTTGCAGATGAAAACCTGAGGAAGATGCAGATATGGTATTACTCATTCTTGGAGTTCGGGTATCCGACATTATCAAACGAGCTTGCCTGGTTCACGATTTTAACTTTGAGATCGAGCGAGTGTGACACCATCGAAGGAGGCGTCTCGGCAGTGATGCGCTATCTTCTCACAGTTTTTTATGGTGGCTCATCGGGCCAAGACATGAGAAAGGGTGTGACCATCATGATAGGAGGTGAGCCGCGGCTCATCCATGGCTCGCTTGGAAGCATGTTTCAGGATGAAAGGGCACACAAGTTCATAACAATGTGCAAAGGAGCCTCAGGGATAAAACCATGTGCTTTATGTAAAAACGTCGTTCGGCCTGCAAGCAACTTATTGCCCGATCCATCAGGGTATTTGGTTTCAGCAGACACAGTCGACATCTCGAAGTTCGATTTGCATACAGCTCAGAGCATCAGGGGCATCCAGAAACGCCTGAAAGCAGCATATGAGACAGACACCAAAACTAACTACGAACGGCTGGAGGTCTTGTATGGTTTCGCATATGATAAGTCTGGGTTGCTCTCAGATTTCGAATTGCCACTCGAACTCGACAAACATTTAGCATGGGACTGGATGCATTGCTACCTCGTGGATGGGACCTTCAACCGTGAAGCGACAGCCTGCCTTGAGAAACTAAAAGGCCACAACTTGGGATTTGATAAGGTTCACGAATACATCAATCATTTTCAATGGCCGAAGGGGTACAACAGCGGAAAGTCGTCTTGCTCTAAAAAAAAACTAATGGGCGGTGCTTCGGATATGATTTCATTTGCGCCAGTGCTGGCTCACTACATGCAGAAGGTTGCTTTGCCAAGTGGAGTGTGCACTGCTGAGTGTGAGTCAATGATTGCGCTATGTAATGTCATCGGCCTTCTCCAGATAACAAACTCCAAGTTGGTGACACCAGCTATGCTACAGGATGCCATCGTGACGCACATCACTTTGCATCGCTCGGTTTGGGGGACATCTATCTTCAAGCCAAAAGATCATTGGATTCTTCACTTGCCAAATCAGCTTGCGCGACAGTCCATTCTTCTCTCCTGCTTTTTGCAGGAGAGGAAACACAGGATGGTAAAGAGATTCTGCCAGGACCGACGGAACACACGTAGCTTTGAGAAGGGAGTTCTTCAAGACATAACTGCGCATCATTTGCATGCTCTGGCATCTCATTCATTGACAGGTGGAGATCTTGTGGAGGCAAAGGTCGCGAGTGATAAATTGGTGTCAACCTTATCTCAGACTATTCCAATATTTGTGAATACAGAGATCATGACTGCAAGAGCCTGCTACATTAATGGAAGGTGCATTGAGATTGGGGACGTCGTATCCTTCGTTTCTCCCGAAGGGCACATCAGGTTCGGAGAGGTCCATCTCCACCTGAAAATCGATGGCGTGCTTAAGGTTGTCGTGTCGCCCTGGGAGGTGCTTGAGATGTCCGCTACCAGTTGCACGTGTCGGGTATCCGTTCGGCCAGTGTTGAAAAACACACAGTGCGTGATTGAGCCTTGCGTGTTCTGGGGCGCGAAAGAGGGAGGCGTTGCCACATGCCTGTTCCCTCCCAAGCTGAAGCTAAGGGCTGACTCTGCGAGGCAAGCTGAGGGAAACCTGATCCTGCCACTCCACTTCCTCCAACTCCCCCTGCTGCAACGCTTCTCTCACTCCTCCACGCTCTTCTCCTCCTCCTAACTTTGCTTCTGCTACTGCTGCCCTCTCCTACTCCTCCATCTCCTTTTCTTGGAAGGCCTCGTGAAAATCCAATCCAGGAAATCGCGAATCCAATAGGAAATTCAACGGTTCAGGATCTGAAAATCACATCAGGCAGGGTCGGATTCTGGGATCCCCCCCCCAACGAAGCAGGTTACGCAGGTTAACCTAACCAGGTTAGCCCCCCAAGTTAACCAGGTTACAAAGCCCAATATTCGCCTACGTTAACCTCGTCCCAACTAGGTTCCGCAACCCCCGTAACTAACTTATCCTAACCAAGGGAACCACACTCAAGCTACTTACAACCCCGCGATGGACTTAATAAGCCACGCGGTGATTCAAGCACCCGTGTTTCGCCGGTGTTCCCCGACACTCCCCCCCCCTACTGGACATGGAGGGCAAATCGGGGCCTTCGGGTTGGGTTGGGGTGGTCTGGCGGGCGGTGGTAGAGGTGTTGACTGTGCAGGGGGGCCTCGCTTCTGCCCCCCGGCCCGGCCATCCGCACCCTGCCCCCCGAGGCCGCTCCGAGACCATCCAGCGGGGCCCTTCCGAGGACGCCCGGCGCAGCTCCGGGGCCACCGGGGCGCCGAAGGATGCCGCAAGAGCCGAGAGGGGACAGAGGAGGCCCCCGCAGAGTCCTCGCGAGCAGGGGGCAGCAGAGGGGGGGGCTCAGCGAAGCGGCTTCAGCGATTTGAGCTGGTCCCCCAGGAACAAAAACGAGCGCGATGCACCACTGCACATGCTGTCCCAAACCAACAGCGCCCGCTATTAGGCAGGCAACCTCCTGTCTAAAACTGACAGCGCCCGCGGCGACGCCGACAGAGATGCAAATTCAACCTGGGATCCCTATCCCTCCTTATCCTCGGGGCTCCAATCCTCGGGCCCCCCACTCTGAACCGCTGGCAGCTGCACAGTCAGCTGCTCTTCTAGAGACCTCCTAGATGGAATTCGAATAGATGGGGTCGAAGGATCGCGCCGCATCGCCAATGCTTCGCCGATGTATCGGCGATGCATCGGCGACGTCGGCGATGCATCGGCGACGTCGGCGTGGGGAAACACGGGCTCCACATCGAGCCGCATCGTCGATGCATCGGCGATGCGGCGCGATCCTCCGACCCCACCTACTCGGACCCCGACCAGGAGGCCCATATCTCCTCCAGCGCCCAACCTGGCGCCGGAGGCGACCGTGCGCACCAAGGAACATCGCTCCTCTGTGGGGCCGAACCAAGCTGCGCTCGGGCAGAAGGTTAAGGAGCGGCCAAGAGGGGGGTGTCCAAGAGGGGGGGCGCAAATCATGGCCAGCGGCATGTGCGCGGCCCGGCGGGAGGGCCAGGGACGTGATGAACTAAGAAGAGGCGCCATGAAATCTGGGGAGATCTCATGGCCCCCGCCATGATATCCACCCCCCCTAGTCATCACCCCCCTCTTCTCCGCCCCCGAAAGATCGCACGAGCGACGACCAAAAAAACGGGTCGCACGCGAGAGGGCGCAGCGACCTTATATACGCGGTGGCTCACGCGCGAGCCGCCCGCGCGGCACGCCACACGTGCAGAGCGAGAGCGCTCTCGCGCGCGGCCTTGCGCGGGCAGCTTGCGCGCCCATGCCGGCGCAGACGACGCTTGCGCTTCCTCGGTGCACGCGGCATGTCGGGGATCTTCTGGCCCGGGTCGATCCAGACCCGGGTCAGCCAGGCCTTGCGGAATCCTGCAGGCTCCTGCAAGATCCTACACCCAGACCCGGGTCCACGCGGAGGATCCTGCAAGACCCTGCAGGAGCCTGCACCCAGGCCATGGGCAATGCGACCCTGGCCCTGCGGGATCCTGCAAGATCGGGCGCTCTGGCTGACCCCCGTTTGCATTGACCCCCGTCTCAAGGCTGCCGAGGCAGACGTCTAGCACCTCCGCAGGTTCCGCCTCCCCCCTCCACTGCCCGTTGATTCTGACGTCTGATTCTGACGTCCGAATGGGGCGCTCTCGGCGAGTCTTGGAGGCCTCTTGGGGATCTCTTCGAGGCCTCTTGGGACTCTTGGGACCGATACTGGTGAGGAGAGCTCTTGGGGCCCCTTCGGCTTTCCCGTATAGGGCCCCTGTTGAGGGCATCTTGGGAGGATCGTAGGCCGTCTTGGGCCCTCTTGGCTTGTCGTGGGGCCCCTCTTGCGCCGGTCTCGGGAGCCTGTGGGGCCGTCTTCGGATGTCAGAAGCCTGGAGAGCACGACGATGCGTCGAAACCTGAACGGAATCCATCAGCTTTCCTCCTAGGAGCCCCTGTGGCGGTCTTCTCGGGGCCCTCTGTGGGAGTCTTCTGGGCTTACACTGGGCTGGCGAGAGGCCTACTGGGGCGTCTTGGCGGCGTCTCGAGGCCGTCCTGCGTGGCTCGTAGCGCCGTCTCGAGGCCCCTGCTGCCATCTGAATCACTTTGGGGCCGAAACAACAGTGGGGGTCCCCAAACCGTGTGGTGACAGACCAAGCGGTGACCTCGGAACCCCAAGAGACCTCACCGCACGGTCCGTCACCGCACGGTTTTGAGACCCTGGAGGCTCCAGTCGCACGAGACGTCCTCGGAGAACGACCCGAGCCCGACCCCGAACCCCCACCGACTCACCACACGGTGTGGTCACCACCCCCTTTGGGGTCCCCCGAGAAACAGCAGCCCAGAGCCTCCAAGAACGACCCCCCCCCGGGCCCCTGGGACGAGAGTGTGGCATCGGGGAAGAAGTTTTAAAACATTTGCTGCCCCGCAGCCAGGGGGTCCACTCAGACGTGGGTCATACTCCTGCCCCCATCCACCTGCCTTTCCTGATCCATCTCGTCCTCCATCCCCTCGTCTCCCCTTTCCCCCTGTTCACTCCTCTCCCCTGCTCCCCTGCTCCTGTCCCTTTCCCCCTGCTCACTCCTCCTCGTCCCTGCTCCCCCTACTCACTCCTCTCCCCCCTCCCCCCCCCCACGGGAGGCCTCCAGGCAATCTAGGTTCGCGCAAACGTCATGGACTGGAGCTGGAACCCCCACCATGGCGCTCGGAACGCGCCAGGGGCGGCGCCAGAGGTGCAGCCACGGGTGTCCAGCCCCGATCCAAGAAACCTGCGCGGAGCTCAGAAAGGTTAGGTTAACGGCCCCCCCCTTCTTCCCCTTCGGGGAGGGGTTTATCCCTCCCCCCCCAACCCTGGGTCTGGAAGGGGGGCCGCGAGGGGTTAGAGCGTCCAAACCAGCCTCGGCGAAGGAGCCAAGATCATTGATTCTACGAAGCCGCACTTCGGCGTCGTGGGGGGGCGTAATTGAGTACGCCCCGTCCTTTGATCGATCTCCTCCAAGACGGCCCCAAGGCGGCCTTCCAAGGGTGCCCCAAGACGGCCCCAAGAGGTACCACCCAGGAGCCCCCAAGAGGCCCCCAAGATGCCCCCCAAAGGCTCCCAAGAGACGCCCAGGAGACCCCCCCAGAGGCACCTAAGACGCCTCACGAGGCTCCAAGGACTGCCAACAGACCCCAAAGACGCCCCAAGAAGCTCTCGAATGAAATCCGAAAAAAGGCCGATGGCCTTTCTGCTCGCCCTGCTCCTCCTCCTCCTCCTCCTCCTCCTCCTCCTCCTCCTCCTCCTACTCCTCCTTTTCTCCTCTTGCTCCTCCTCCTCTTCCTCCTCCTCCTCATTCACTTCTTCATCCGCCTGTCCCTCCTCCTTCCTCCTCCCTGCCCCCCTTCCTCCTTCCCCTGCGAATCCCTACGAATCCCCCTTTTCCCTAATCCCCCACTTCCCCCTTTCCCTACTGGTCTAGCGCGTTTCCTCCTCCACCCCTCCCGCTTCCGCTTTGGGGAGGGGCTTACCCCTCCCCCTAGCCCCCTCCCCTGGACCTGGAGTGGTGGGGTCGCGGGTCGTTGGGGCGTCCAAGATGACCCAAGATGGCTCTAGGAGGGCCTCAGAGAGCCCAAGATGACTTCTAAGATGGCTCAAGATAGCCCAAGCTGGCTCACTGTGGGTTCCTCCAAGACGTTCCTATAGGCTCCATATCATTCCAAGACGGCGCCAAGTTGTCACGGACCCTTCCACGGAGGCCCCCGAAAAAAGGCCCAACCCCTACAACAACCTAAGGAAGATCATTGAGGTGTGCCTTCTCGCCTGTTTGCTTTCGATGGCCTTCCGAAGCCAAAACGTAGCTCCAAGACGGCCCAGGAGGGCCCCAAGAGAGGCCCAGGAGAGCCCCAAGACGGCCTCAAGAGCGCCTCCAAGCGCCCCAAGAGCGCTCCATGAGGGGCCCGGGAGGCGATGTTGGGGGCTTCCGAGGGAAGGGGTTAAGGACCCTCCTTATTTGCTCGAGCTTTTCCAAGATGGCTCCTAGAGGGCTTCTGAAGTCCCCAAGGCATCTCCTAGAGGCTCCCGAGAGGCCCCCAGAAGGGCTCCAAGAGACGAATTTGGGCACTCTAGAGGGGCAAGGCTAAGTAAGTGCCCCCCGTGTTTGATCGATCTCCTTCAGATGGTTCCAAAAGCGCCCCCAAGGCTCCCAAGAGCGCCTCAAGAGGGCACCAAGAGGCGCCCAGAGGGCCCCAAGAGGCCCCCAAGAGGCATCCGAGAGCGTTCCAAGAGGGGCGCCTCCTCTGTGTGCTGCCCACTTCCTTGATCGAAGCAACTCCTCTGGATATCGTCTCTGGATGGGCTGGTGGGGCTACTGTTGGTTAGCGGGCGCGCGAACAAGTCGAACGCCGAGCGTGCTGCTACGGCGGGCCGCGCCGGTAGCGAAGTGAAAAGCAGTGCAGGCAGCCATTTGGGTTACTTTTTTTTGGCCGGCGGCTCCGAGGCAGCGGTCAGGGAGCGGAAGGCATCGTCTGGGCCAGCAGGCGAGGCGAATTAGCTACAACAGGCAACGCACCTGCAGTAATAATTCGCAAATGATGCGATGTGTGGACCAGTTGGGTTACTTTATTTTGGTCGGCGGCTCCGAGGCGGCGGACAGGGAGCGGTAGGCGTCGTCTGGGCCAGCAGGCGAAGCTAATTAGCTACAACAGGCAAGGCACCTGCAGTAAAAACCCGCAGTACGCGAGTATGCACAACCAGTTTGGTAACGCGGAGCGTCAGGAATTCCTCCGCATGCGCCTCCTGCGATTCCTCCTCCATCCTCCCCATCTTCGGCTACGACGTCTTACCCAGCCCTGTATTCCACTGCACTCCCCTCCACATCCCCGATCAGGGCAACCCGTCTGGGCATCGCTTCTGGATGTGCTGGGATGGGACGCGTCTAGAATGTATCCTCCTCGAGACGAGGACCGCGGCGAGCAGCTCGCTCCGTCAACGAAATGTGGCTGTTCGGGGCGCCGCGGGGTGCCAGAAGAACAAGCTACAACTCGTGGACGCGTGTGTCGGAGTCGTCGACCCTCGACGCCGACGTGGACGACCACGAGGGCGCCAATCCAGCATCGATCCCCCACGACGAGGACGACGAAGACCGCGACGAGGACGCCGACGAGGACGCCGAGGGGGACGCCGACCAAGGCGACGACGAGGACGACGAGGCCACCGAGGCGGCGGCCCGCCGGCCCGCCTCAGAGGTCCTCGCCCCTCGCGCGCCTGCGCGCGGTCCTCTTCTTCCTCAGCTCGTCCATGCCTGCGGGCCGCGGTGGGGCCCGAAGGCGTAAACAACCTCGGTCCTCGATCCCCTCCTCTAGAGGCCACCTGGATGGGGTCCGAGTAGACGGGGCCCAAGAACCTCGCCCCGTCGCCGATACATCGGCGATGCACCGCCGATGCATCGGCGATGCACTTGCGACGTCAGCAATGCCTCGGCGCCATCGGCGTGGAGAAAAGCGGGCCCCGCATCGAGCCGCATCGCCGATGCATCGGCGATACGGCGAGATCCTCCGACCCCATCTACTCCGACCCCATCTGAGAGGCCCAGATCCTCTCCCTCGAAAAGCACAAACTCTCGGAGCTCCGCGCGGAGTTCTTGGATCGGCGCCGCGGCCCCCTGGCGCCACGGGCGGCGTGACGAGGCCAAGCAGTGGGCGGCTTTCGAGCGTGTGAGGAGGAGGAGGAGGAGGAGGAGGAGGAGGGAGGAGGAGAGGAGGAGGAGAGGAGGAGGAGGAGGCGGGGGAGGGGGAGGGGTAGGGGGAGGGGGAGGGGGAGGAGGAGGAGGAGGTAGGAGGAGGAGGAGGGGAGGAGGAGGAGGAGGAGGAGGAGGAGGAGGAGGAGGAGGCGGAGGAGGCGGAGGAGGCGGAGGAGGCGGAGGAGGAGGAGGCGCCACAGGCGGCGTGAAGAGGCCAGGCAGTGCGAGTTTCTCGAACGCGTGCGGCCTCTTGGGGCCGTCACCGGGCCCCAGGACCCAGGCCCGTCGACCGACGGCTGGGGAGCTTGCCGTTGGGTCGGGTATGCCCCCCCTTACAGGCGGCTCTCGGGGGAAACATGTCAAATACTCAAACGGCGACGGCGACAGCGACAGCGACGGCGACGGCAACGACGACGACGACGACGACGGCAACGGCGATGACGACGACGACGGCGACGGCGACGGCGACAACACGATACGATACGATACGACCACCGCTGCGGACGCCGCCCGGGCCTAGCTAAGACCAGGTGGGTGAGGCCGTGGCCTCGAGAATATGGTGTCTGAACAGCATGCAATGCGAGATGCAGATAAAGTTCATAGAGGAGGGAGGGGGGAGAGGTCCTTGGAGACGGTGTCGGCGCGGAGCTCGGTATGCCTGTGCGTGTCTGTGTGGGAGGGAGAAGGGGAGAGGGAGGGAGGGAAGGGAATGATCCTTGACGTCGATGTCGGCGTGATTCCCCGTCACGTGTTGGCGTAGTGGTGCTCGACAGTTGACGACGTGATGGTGTCTTGGGGCGTACGAATCCACGCGACGGCGACGGCGACGGCGACGGCGACGGCGACGGGGACGGCCACAACGACCGCAACGAGGGTCGGCGGGGCCTGCCGGCAGCGGGGCGTCCAGCTTGGCGGCCTGACGTTCGCTCTCGGGCAAGCCGACGAGCAGCATGCGCCTCGTCATCCCGTCCTCGCGATTCGGGCGGCCCCGAGGAGGGCGAGGAGGCATCTCCAGTCGGAGTCGGAATTCTGGCTCTGGGGGAAGAGCGGCCAGACACTTCCCGAGTGGAGGAAAGAGGACTCTCGTGCGCCAGTTTCGGACGGGGAAGGACGGGGAAGGGAGAGCGGGACGGGGAGGGGGAGGGGAAGGAGGAGGAGGAGGAGGAGGAGGAGGAGGAGGAGGAGGAGGAGGAGGAGGAGAAGAGGAAAGAGGACTCTCGTGCGCCAGTTTCGGTCCCGATTTTGGGGCACGGGCTCGAGGGCCATGAGGGATCGATCCGGGGTAAAGCACTGGCCTGCGCGGACCCCAGGAGGCGTTCCAGGAGCACACTTTGAACGAATGTCTGAAGGGGCCCTGGGACACACAAGTACATGCACACAAACAACAGGATTCCCAATCTTTTTCAGTATGTCCTGGGTTTTTGTCTCCCCCCCACTTCCCATAGTTTCCCATATGTTCTGGGAATCGACGATTGATTGTGTCTGTGTGTTGTCTTCCCTCCTTGATGTCGTCGACTTGGGGGGAATGGTGTTGGGCGAGGGATCCTGGACCCCTGCGGATCGGGGTCTCTTGGCCTCCGGGATGCCTCCTTGTCGCCACGCCTGGACGCGGCACGCGGCTCGAAACACTGGCGCGATGGAACCCCAGGAGGGGACCGGGTCCAGCGATCCGTTTTGAGCGGATTTTTCGGCCAAACCTGAGGGTCGATCAAAGTCCCACCAGCCAGTGGACGCAGGTTTGAGCAGGGACCGACCGTCCCGGCACTCCTATAGTCATATCACGAAATGCTCTTAGAACCCAAAGATGTGCTAAGAGCACAAACAATGTTCTTAGAACATCGACCCGATGTGTTCTAGGCAGAAATGTTCTAAGAACATTTCTGCCTAGAACACATCGGGTTCATGTTATTGGAACAAGACCGTCCTAGCCAGAAATGTTCTAAGAACATTTCGTGTGAACCACAAACAGTTCTCAGAACATTGTTTGGTGGTGCCATAGGCGACAGGTGGCCTAGCGCGTCTTCGTTTGTCTCTGCTTGACAGGTGGCCTAGCGCGTCTTCGTTTGTCTCTTCCCCCTCCCTGTGTCTGGACGGGTGGGGGGGGCCAGGGCAGAGCGCCCAAGACGGCCCGAGAGGGCCCAAGATTGCCTCCAGGACGACTCAAGACAGCCCAACATGGCTCAAGATAGGCTCCCGACACACCTCCAAGGGGCTCCAAGACACCCCCGAGGCAGTTGGAGGTGCTCTCGTAGCCCTCCTTCAGGGCCCTCCCAAGAGACCAAAATTCTTACAAAATCCTTCCAATGACTCCAAGATGGCTCAAGATGGCCCCAAGAGGCCCCCCAGAGGGCCCCGAGAGCGCCCAAGAGGCGCCAAAGAGGGCCCTAAGAGGCGATTGGTCAGGCTCCCAGGGGGGGACGCCGAAAACGGCCTTGGCCCTTTTTGAACCATGGCCTCCAAGATCGCCACAAGAGGGCCCCAAGACCTCCAGGAGCCCCAAGAGGCCCCAAAGACGGGTCCAAGAGGGCCAAAAACGCTGCCAAAATAGCTCCAAGATGGCTCCAAGAGACTTCCAAGAGGCTCGCGCTGCGCTCCGCCAAGGCTTGACGGGCCTGCTCAGGCTGACCCAAGGCTTCGGTCTGACGGCTTTCTCACCGCTTTGTCACACCGCACCCCTGCCCCGCGTCCCTGATCAAGGAAAGTCGCCTGGGCATCGCTGCTGGATGGGCTAGGGGTGATACGCGAAGCGTCAAACAGTTCGTGCCATTTCTGACCCGATTCTGGGTCTCCGAAGCCTCCATGAGGCATCGGCAGCCGAGTCGGGAAACGTCGAATCGGCAGACATCGGCAGGCTACTATGGCGATCGATATCGAGTCGAATCGAATCGCAGGAATCGAACTGAGCCCTGCATCGGAGGCCTCCAGGAAGCTCTCGGGGGCGACCAGGGGGGGAGCGTACAACAAAGGGAGTGTCTGCATCTCCTGATCCGAGAAGCACGTTCGCGGCCGAGAGGGCGGGCCAAGGGTCACACACTCTCAAAGACAAGCACACATGAGACCGTGAAACCCCTGGGAGATGCCCCGGCCACGGCCACGATGTCACCCCTCCCACCCCACGCACTCAGTCCTCAACTCCTCCTCCTCCTCCTCCTCCTCCTCCTCCCTCCCTCCCTCCCTCCCTCCCTCCCTCCTCCCTCTCCTCCTCCCTCCACCTCCCTCCCTCCTCCCTCCCTCCCTCCCTCCCTCCCTGCTGCCTCCCTCCTCCCTTCACTCCCTCCCTCCTTCCCTCCTTCCGCTCCTTCCCCCCTCATCCTCCCCTTCTCCCTCCTCCTCCTCCTCCCTCCTCCTCCTCCTCCTTCTCCTCATCCTCGTCCTCCTCTCTTCCTCCTCCTCCTCCTCCTCCTCCTCCTCCTCCTCCTCCTCCCCCTCCTCCTCTCTTCCCCCTCCTCCCCCTCCTCCTCTTCCTCCTCCTCCTCCTCCCCTCCTCCTCCTCCTCCTTCCTCCTCCTCCCCCTCCTCCTCCTCCTCCTCCCTCCTCCTCCTCCTCCTCCAACTCCTCCTCCCCCTCCTCCTCTTCCTCCTCCTTCTCGATGAGAAAAGTTTCACCGATGGAGGGCGGGAGCATGTGGCTCTCGCCTTAGCGCGGCGCACATTCGTTTTAAACGTGTGCAAAAGCTTCACTAACTGAAGGCAATCCGTGTTCAACCTGTGGCTATCGCCGTAGTGCGGCGCACATTCTTGCTTGAACAGTGCAAACAAGCATGGCACGAATTGAGGGAAGTTCCTTTTCAAGATGTGGCTCTCGCCTTAGCGCGGCGCACATTCTTGTTTAAGCAGTGCAAGCAAGCATGGCACGAACTGAGGGCGGTTCCTGTTCAAGATGTGGCTCTCGCCTTAGCGCGGCGCACCTTCAGGCTAAACATCTGCAGAGGTTCCACGGATTGAGGGTCTCGCCATGGCGCCGCGCGCACTCGTGGACGCACTTTGCGAGGTTCACGGGTTCCGTAATCAAGCGTACGGGGCAGTTGTTTAATACATGGGATGTCAAACCATGAGATGTGTCAATGCATGCTTAATTTATGAATCAATGTGTGCATGCAATCATCCTTGTACTTAATAGTCAACCATTTCTTTCTAATACATGGTCCGCACGCGGAGCATGCATTAAAAACGGCACTGTACCATCAATGGTGTTTTGAAAGGATGCAGGATTATGCGGGTGTAACAATTACGTTGATTCGCTGTGCTGAAGTCCCAAGAACAGCGTACAGTCAGGTTCATCCGTGGCGTTGGAATCCCTATATAGAGATTATGCTATCCCTTCGCCTCTATTCCTCTTCGTCCTCTGGCTATATGTCCTGTTCCTCCTCCTATTTCTCCTCCGCTTCCCTCTCTTATGTCTCTTCATATTCCTCTTTTCCCTTCGGGTCGCCTGTGCCTCCTCCTCATATTCCTCCCACCTCCCCCTCCTCCGTAACCTTCGCCTCGTTCCCCCTATTCCCTCTCCATCTTCTCCGTCTTCGAGCTCTCACTCTGCTGCCTAGGTCGTGTGTGGACTATCTTGGATGGATCCAGACGCTCTTGGGGCCCTCTGGGGGTCATCTTGGAGCCTTCTTGGACAACCTTGGGACCTCCTCGGGCCCTCTTTGGGCCCTCTGGGCCTTCTCGGGGGCCTCACGCATGCCTGCCTACGCTACGGCCGATACAAAGACAGAGCGGAGTATGTGTAAGTAGATACACACATCTTGAACATTTAACTATGGGACGTTACCTTCTCGGAACAAATCGATGCCCGCCCCCGCGGACCTACGAATCGTTTCTTTTTCGAGCAATTGCCAGGGACGATTCCTTCTCTGGCCGTCTACCCGATTCACCTCTCAAAGGGGAGGTATTCATAATAATTGGCTCCTGGGTCTGCTCAGGATGATCCCCAGACTCGGCTTGACGGCCATCCCTCCCTCTCTGCTCCGCCGCTTGCCTGCTGCCGCACTCTCCCGATCGGGGCAGCTCGCCCGGGCACCCTTGAAGGATATGGGCTGGTGGGCACGCGCGAAACTTGGCGGCGCGCACATTGGGGCAAGGGGGAACGGGGAAGGCTCACTATAGAACAAAGGCTGCTCCTTAGAGGGCGCCAGCCCTGCAGCAATAGACAAGGCCCGCGCCTTCTGAGAGGCAGGGGTGCTTCTGAGAAGCATTCCCCTCCCCCCCTATCCCCCTCTGCGCGTGGCTGGCCTTTGCTGGGTATGGGCCGGTGGGCACGCGCGAAGCGTCAAGAATCTCTCTATGCTGGTCGTATACCCCGCCGTCCGCATCCGCAACGGTGGAGGAGAAACACTGCGAAGACAATGGCCAAGACGGAGCGCGGAGACGTCGATGTCGATCTTGGTCATCTTGGCGGCGCGCTCAAGGAGGCTGCTTCTTAGAAGACGCCCGCCCTACATTTATAGATGAGACCCGCGCCTTCTAAGAAGTAATGGTGCTTCTGAGAAGCCTTCCCCACCCTTCATTACCCCCCTCTGCGCGTGGCTGGTCATCGTCCATCTTGCCCATCGTCAATTCGTGGGCAATCCTCGCGAGTCGGCAACGGCGGGCATGGACCGTGACCAAGACCAGCGTCGACGAGGTGCTGCGACATATTGGTCATGGGCATCGTGTTTATTTCTTCGACACCAGGAAGAGCCGTTGCAGGACGGAAGGCGAAAGGAAGAGTCGAGCCCAGAATAAGCGGGGGCGTCCAAATGCGGGGCGTCCTAGAGAGGGGTCAACAAACCATGGCCCGAGGCACTCGTGGCCCAGGGGACGCATTGAAATGAGAAGAGAAAGAGCCATGACATCTGGGGAGATAGCATGGCCCTTACCATGATAACCACCCCCAAAATCATCACCACCCTCTTATTGGCCGCCCCCGCCCCGCGCCCGGCCGGCCCGTGGCCGGGCAGAGGGCAGCACGCGAATCTCCTCCACGCACCGCTCCACGCACTCCTGCCACGAGTGTCGCACCTGCTCGCCGTAGCGGCAGTGCGCGATGCACGGCTGCGCGTGCTCGTCCTCCCCGGTGGCGACGTTGGAGATGAGCATCGCCTGCAGCCAAACACCCAGACCGCTTCGCGTCGAGAAAACGTCACGACGGACAACTTGTTGCTATTTTCGCCCGCTGGGGGCCCTCACTGAGACCCGGGACCGGTTGGGAGAAAAAAACTCAGGATGGAAAGGCGGTCCGGGGGAACAGGTCAAGACCTCTGCGGGTCGACGGTTGTAAGAGCATCAAGACGTCGGGGGGCTGGGAGCAGAGACCGTGCCGCAACTGCCGCCGTTCCAGCACTCTTCGCGGGCGCGAAGCATGTACAGCGAAAACGTATAGTAAGGACGCGTGGTAAGGACGCAAGACCCTTGGAGGCCGACATTGAAGTAATTATTCTGGCCTGCGAAAACTGCTCGGGACGGGCCGCAGAGGCTGAGGCAGGCAAGGACCCAAGGGTACCCTTGAAAAAGTCGTTTGTCCTTACTGTGCGCGTTGACTGTACCCATATCTGCGGGCACGCTGTCAAGGCTCTTCGGCTACGGCCCCGTGGGTACAGAGCGGCGTTGCGCGGATGACTCGCGCGGAACGCGCCCCTGCCGGCGGCGGACCCGGGGGGGGGGGGGGAGGGGCGGGCCTTCTCAGACGGCTCGGAAGTCCCCCGGCATTCTGAGAAGTTCTCTAAGCCTTCCCAGAGGGCACAAAAAACCTCCCGGAAGGCTCAGGGGGCTTCTGAGGAGCCCCGCCGCCTTCTGAGAAGGCCTTGTCCTTCTCACTTTCCCCCCTCGCTCGCCGCCGACCATGGGATCGAGCATCCACGGGGTGACGCCTCGGCATCCAGACACCGATGGCATGGAAATGGCTACGTTCGACGCTCGTGGCCTCTGAGTCTTTCACTCTCTCCACCGCTCTCTCTCTCTCTCTCTCTCCCACTCTCGGATGTATGCCATGCCTCTTCGGATCCACCACGCGACACGGTCGGACCCGAGGACAGAACAACGTCCTTCGAGAACGACCCTCTGCCAGCAGAAACATCCCAAACCATCGAGGGTACCCTCCCCCAGGATGCACAAGAACATGCAACAAGCACGAAGAACACTCAGGCCACCCTCCACGAGCCGAATTCGATCTTACACCTCGGTCCGTGCGTACCAACGCAGCCCCCACCGCCCCACATGCTGAATTGGACGCCCGAGTTATCCGGGGTAACTCGGGTCCGGGGTAACTCGGGTTTGGGTTCCCGAAAAACGAACCCGAGTTAACCCTGACCCGAGTTACCCCTGATGATTCGGGGCTCTGGACGCCCGAACTATCCGGGGTAACTCGGGTCCGGGATAACTCGGGTTCGCACTCCCGAAAAACGAACCCGAGTTAGCCCTGACCCGAGTTACCCCTGATGATTCGGGGCTCTGACTGAATGTTTACTGGGGACAAGTTCGGGCATACGTCGCACAGCGAGCCCCGATCCCACCACCAGCGTCGCCTGTTTTAGCAACAGTTGCACCCTGGATGTCTCGACCCCTTCCCAGAGGGCCGGTTTCTCAGCCTGGCCGATGCTGGCGGCGAGCCCAGGGGGGAAATTGAGAAGGGACGGGCCTTCTCAGAAGGCGCGGAAGTCCCGCGGCCTTCCGGGAAGCTTCCTGAGCCTCCCCAGGAGGCACAGCGATCTTCCCCGAAAGGTGGGAGGGCTTCCGAGGAGCCCCCAACGCCCTCTGGGAAGGCCTCGCCCCCCCGCGCGCGCCTCCCAGCTCATGAGGTGCTTCACCGACTCGTCCTTCAGCAGGTCGGCCCTCGGCTCGGGCTGGCGGGGCACTGCGCCCCCACTGCCCCCCGCCTCGTCCCTCGTCCTCCCCCCGCTCCCCTCCTCCATCTCATCCCCGCTCGCCCCGTCGTCCCCCTCCTCCTCAACCCTTCTCGCCCTGTGTCTCCTGCCCCCTTCTGCTACAGCTCCTCCTCCTCCTCCTCCTCCTCCTCCTCCTCCTCCTCCTCCTCCTCCTCCTCCTCCTCCTCCTCCTCCTCCTCCTCCTCCAGGGTGACCTCACACGTCAGTCGGAAGAAGTCGGCAAAAACACATGACGTGGGAAGGCGGATGACGTAGATTGGGCCCAGGCCCTCCCAGAGAATAACCAAACACAGCGAGAGCACATCGATTCTCGAGGTAGGACGGCGCTTGAAGCAGCTTGGCCTACTTTTTCCAGACCGGCGTGTGCTGGGTGGGTCGGGTCGGGCGAAAGGGGGGGATAGCAAAGGGGGGGGGTTCGAGAATCAGCTCACGCAGCCGATTTTCCTGGCGCCTCCCGGCGCGGGAGGCGCCCACGTATCGAGGAAGGGGCCCCTCGGTGGGGCCGAAATTAGCTGCACGCAGCAGATTTCGTAGCCCCCCCTTTCCCCATCCCCCCCTTTTCGTCCGGCCCGAGCGGGGAGCAAAGGAGGCCTCAGGGAGGGCCGCGGGGGCCCCCTCGTGGGGCCCCTGCTGGCTCCCAGAGGGCCCCCCTTGTGGGGCCCCTGCACGGCCCTCTTCCTCCCCCCCCCCCCCCACCCCTGTGGAGGAAAGGGGCCCAGGGGCACACCAATAGATACACACAGATAAAGAGCTTCCCCAGATTTTCCCATATGTTCTGGGTTTTGGTCTTCCCCCCCCCCCACGTCCCACATCTTCCCGTATTTCCGGGGGAATCGACGATTCATTGTGTCTATGTGTTTTTGTTCCCTCCTGATTGAGGTCACCCCCCCCCCTTCCCACCCGCTCGACAGCCAACCTCTGGACCCCTGCCGGGACCATCCTGGCCCGTGCGCCCCGAGGCGGATCCGGCCGCGAGCCGCGAGGGGGCGAGACCCCGCTCTGCTCGGGTCTGCGTCCTCCCGCGGGTGTGCCCGCTGCTTCCGCGCATGTCTCGAGCGGACCAGGCTCAGGCGGCGGCATGCGAACCCCACCCTCACCAGCCATCGGTTTTCCTGAATCGATGGAAGGCTGGGGTGAGGTTCGGAGCCCGCGACGTGCTCGGCGAATTCCGAACCCTGTCGTATGTTGCATCCTCGGGGAGCCTTGTCTGTCCCGTCGCGGCCCCGTCTGCGTCGGATCCGTGTCGAATCCATGTCGGCCTCGTCGGATCCGTGTCGACTCCTTGTCGAATGCGCGTCGAATCCGCGTCGAATACACACCAAATCTGCGTTGAGGCCGCATCGAGCCGGCGTCGGGGACAGGAAAAAAGACACCAGTTTGGGGGACAGGCGAGGTCCCCCGAAGACGCAACGTAGGATGGGGGGAGGGGTCGATGCGTTCGCCACGGAGCCTGTCCCAGCGATACTTTCATTTCTGCCCCTGCGTGGAACGCCGGATAGCTCGACCCATTCCCGGGGACAACCTTCTCTCGTCTGAATGTGTGCTTGACGTCGTCGTCGTCGTCGTCGTCGTCGTCGTCGTCGTCTTCGTCGTCGTCGTCGTCGTCGCCCGTCGAGTGGCCGGCGCCGCCGCTCGGCGAAGGCAGGGCCCGGACCTCGCCGCTATAGGGCGTCGGGCGGGAGGGCACAGGATCGAAGCGATCGGCGGGATCGGCAGTCGAAATACAGTCAAAAATGAAGGGGCTCTGGAACACACAAATAGACACACACAAATCAGAAGCTTCCCCATATTTTCTCATATTCTCTGTGCTTTTGTCTTCCCCCCCACTTCCCATATTTTCCCATATTTTCTGGGAGTCGACGATGAATTGTGTCTGTGTGTTTTTTCCCTCCTGACGAAACCCTAGTAAGGACGCGCGCCGCGGGAAGGACGCAGGACCCTTGGAAGCCGAAGCTGGGATTTTTGGGGCGGCGGACGACGGAAACCTCGAGGACGCAAGAGCAAGGAAGAGCAAGGACGCAAGTGCACCCTGAGCAAAGTCGCGCGTCCTTATTAGGGTTTTTGACTGCACAGCAGGTTATAGTCGGACTCGATTGGACAGGACACGCGAGAGGACACAATACCGTTCCGAAGGCCATATTGCCACAGGAATGCAGGAGGCATGGGTAGCGAGGCACAGGACACAAGGAGTAAGGGTACCCTTGAGCTGGCAGGGTCGACCTACTAATCCGGGCCGGCTGTACATCAGATTGAAGGAAAGTGCCTGAGAAGCCATCAAGAAGCCCCCAGAGGCCCCCAAGAAGCCCCCCCAAGAGGCCCCAAGAGGCCCCCAGAGACCCCCAGGAAGCCCTAAGAGGTCCCCCACGAGGCTCTCAATCGCCTCCCAAGAGCTTCCCAAGAGGACCCCAAACTACCCCCAAGAGGCCCCCGAGAGCGCTCGTCGTCGTCGTCGTCGTCGACGTCGTCGTCGTCGTCGTCGTCGTCGTCGTCGTCGTCGCCATTCAGGGACGGCGGCACCGGCCGTAAGGCCTTCGCAATACATCAGATCAGAGGAAAGTGGCAGCCGAGTCGGCCAGAAGGTCGAACCGGCGAAGATCGGCAGGCCAGTAGGCCTCCGTTAAGACCTCGGAACCCAGCTCGACATCCGAAGCCGCATCGGATCGGACAGGGCTGAACCTAAACGGTGCTTTTCGTGTTCGTTTTGTTTTCGTTTGCCCTCGCTTTTGTCTCGAACCCGCCCGTACCGCAGAACGAAAGCGAAACGAAAACGGCCCACGAAATCACCAAAAACACCGTTGAGGTCCAGCCCTGCCTCAGGAACTCCCTTGGACGCCAGGAGTTTCGTTGAGGAATCTTCCCCAACGTCGACCCCGAACACGAAAGCAACAACGTCAGCAAAGCCGACAGAGGCCTCCGAGAACGCAATATCCTTATGACCAGGTAAAACCCTCATGCTGAACCAGGTTCTGGCCTTCGCTCGGACGTCCATTCCCTGTGTTTTTGTTATGTTTCGTGCGTGGTTGTTTCGCCAAATGATCAAGGATGCTCCTCGATGGTCCTCGCCGAAGGAAAAATGCACACGTCCGAGCGATGCCAAGGGCTGGTGGAAACCTGTGTTTTTTTTGGCAGGAGCCGCACCGGGCCTCCGCCGCCCTGCCGCCGGCGCACCGCACCGTCGCCGTCGCCGTCGTCGTCGCCGTCGTCGTCGTCGTCGTCGCCGTCGTCGTCGTGCTCGTCGTCGTCGTCGTCATGCTCGTCGTGGTCGTGGTGGTCGTGGTGGTCGTCGCCGTCGTCGTCGTCGTCGTCGTCGTCGTCGTCGTCCGAACTCGAACCGCACCGCGCCCTGCTGGCGGGCGCCGCGACGCCGCGGGGCGGTGCGCCGGCAGGCCCGCGCCGCCCCCCCGCGAGAGGGGGCGGGGGCCCGCTCTCCCGGCGGGGAGCGCGGCCCGAGGGGCCTGCGCCGCGCGGGGGCCCCGGGAGGAGCGGCGACGAGGGGGGGGGGGACGAAAGCGGTCCTCGTCCTCGTCCTCGGCCTCCTCCTCCTCCTCCTCCTCCTCCTCCTCCTCCTCCTCCTCGTCGTCCCTCTTCTTCTTCTCGGAGCGTTGCCGCGGCTTCTCCCCCGCGGGCGCTGGCCGGCAGGCTGGCTCAGCGCCTTGCCTAAAAGGTGTCATATGCCACCATCCCCTCCTCGTCCTCCCTCCTCCTCCTCCTCCTCCTCCTCCTCCTCCTCCTCCTCCCTCCTCCTCCCTCCTCCTCCTCCTCCTCCTCCTCCTCCCTCCT